ACTTTTAATAAAAGTACAGTTACCTGTACGGGGACCCAGCTCCGTCCTAACCCGGGATGGTTCTTCACCAGTCATTGGGTCCCCGGCACCAGCATTTTTAGTATGGGAAGCTGGCTGTGACTCCTTGCAGCTTCACAATCACTGCACTGTGCTTTATGAATAGTCCCACGGTTTCTTGGGACCTGTGCTGTGTCCAAGAGGTTGTGGGTGATGGGGGAGATTTTCTGGTGGAAACATCTAGGTGATTCGAGCAAGAGTGGAAGTGTGTACCTGCCGAAATTAGGTACTTGTTCCCCCACAAAAAATAAACCTCCAATAATTTTTTTTCAGGGGGGGGGAGTGCAATTCTTAAAAGAGGAACTTCCCATTTAGGGTGAAGTTGCACTTCAGATATTATACTATTTTTTAGGCTGATTTCAGTTTAATTTTTTTAGACTAATGTTTTTGGCTATTTTCTCTTCTGGTCAAATTATTATACAGGATTTATATCGCGCCAACAGTTTGCTCAGCACTTTACAATATAACGGGAGACAGTACAATTACAATACATTTCAGTACAGAAGGAATATGAGGGCCCTGCTCATGGAGCCTACAATATGCTGTTAGGCTATTGTTTTAGGCTATTTTTTATTGGTTAAATTATTATTCTTATTATTATTCTACAGGATTTCTATAGAGCCAACAGTTTGCGCTTTACAAAATGAAGATAGACAATACAGTTACAATACAATTTGGTACAAGAGGAAACAGAGGGCCCTGCTCGTTAGAGCTTACAATCTAGGATGTTTTTAGGCTTTTGTTGTAGGCTATTCTTGGTTGAATGTGGTTGTGCTGTTTTTTTAGGCTATTTTTACTTCTGGTCAAATGCTCTAAAGGCCTTTGCACATGGTAAGAAAATTATATGAAAATTTCCATACAAGGAACGATCGGTCGATTGTCTCTTCATTAATATAGTGCTTTCGACAGCCGATTTCAACAAAAGAAAAAAGAAGGCACAAGCTAGAAAATTTGTATTGTACATGAACACAATATCTTATTTCCACTCAGTGTGTACAGTAATTGTATGGAAATATTAGAATAGAAAAAAATACACATGACCAAAGAAAGACCAGAAGAAGGTGGAAATGAGCATAAAAATCGTACACAAGAAAGAACATTTGCCTCCGTAGGCCAAGACTTTTTGTACAAGTTAATACCATTGTGGTTACATCATGATACGCACCTTCGTGGAAAATCAGACGATCGTTCATCCGATTTTCTCATAGTCTGCACTAGGCTTTAAGGCTGACTATTTTTTTAAAACAAAGAAAACTACGCTGAATACATGAAACATGTCACAAAACAAAATAAATTAAAAAACAAAAGAAATTAAAAATTGCTGCCACTTCCAAACAAATTTCAATACAACACATACTGTAAATGAACACTCAAAGTGATTCAGTAGCACAAAAATGTAAGTGAATAAAATGTGGACATAAAAAACAACATACCGTAAGTGAAAAATAAAGTCTAAAGACAGTTCTTATCCACCAAATAATTCTTCAATCTCTTCAAAATAAATCACTACCTGTAAAAGAAACCAGTGTCTCCCCTTTCGAGTATACACTCACCAAATGGTGTTGCCCCCCCCACTCTCATGGTTGGCAAAAAACGCTCAATGGATATTTCTCGGTGGGATAAAGAATCAATTAGTATTGATCTGCTTCCTCTCCTCCAATTCCCCAAAATAGCTGGCAATAATTTCATATAATAATGAATCAGGTGTGTTGTGGGGAAAGATCAAAATCTAATACACCTGGTGTTATACCTGAGTGCGGAGTATTCAGGAGGAGTTATTCCTCTATGCTACCCTAAGTGCCTCCATATCAGGAATCCATTATTATAGGAAATTATTGCCAGCTATTTTGGGAAAGGCGATTTTGGAGATTGGAGGAGAGGAAGCAGATCGACACTAATTGACTCTTTATCCCACTGAGAAATATCCATTGAGCGTTTTTTTGCCAATCATGAGAGTGGGGGGCAACACCATTTGGTGAGTGTATACCCGAAAGAGGGGGCACACTGATTTCTTTTACACGTGGTGATTTATTTTGAAGAAATTGAAAAATTATTTGGTGTATAAGAACTGTCAGAGTGTTCATTCATGTGACTATATTTTTAGGCTTTTTTTGGTTGAATGCTGTTAGGCTATTTTCTCTTGGAATTTTATGTTTTTGGGAAATTAAGGAATGTTACATTTGCTCTGGGAAAGACACTTAAAAATCCAAAACGTTTTTTTGCCAATATGAAAAACATGCAAGTGGGGGGCAACACCATTTGGTGAGTGTATACCCGAAAGAGGGGGTGACTGATTTCTTTTACACGTGGTGATTTATTTTTAAGAAATTGAAGAATTATTTGGTGTATAAGAACTGTCACTTTGAGTTTTTTTTTATGTCCATATTTTATTCATGTGACTATATTTTTAGGCTTTTTTTGGTTGAATGCTGTTAGGCTATTTTCTCTTGGAATTTTATGTTTTTGGGAAATTAAGGAATGTTACATTTGCCCTGGGAAAGACAACTTAAAAATCAAAAAACATTTTGCAAATATGAAAAGCATGCTAGTGGGGGGCAACACCATTTGGAGAGTGTATACCCGGAAGGGGGGTGACTCTGATTTATTTTACACGTGGTGATTTATTTTGAAGAAATTGAAGAATTATTATTTCGTGTATAAGAACTGTCTTTGGCTTTCTTTGGACTTTATTTTTTCACTTGTTTTTTTATGACCATATTTTATTCACTTACAATTTTGCGCTACTGAATCACTATGAGTGTTCATTCATGTGAATATTCTTTTAGGCTTTTTTTGGTTGAATGCTGTTATTTTCTCTTGGAATTTTATGTTTTTGGGAAATTAAGGAATGTTACATTTGCCCTGGGAAAGACAACTTAAAAATCAAAAAACATTTTGCAAATTTGAAAAACATGCGAGTGGGGGGCAACACCATTTGGTGAGTGTATACCCAAAAGAGGGGTGACTGATTTCTTTTACACGTGGTGATTTATTTTGAAGAAATTGAAGAATTATTTGGTGCATACGAACTGTCTTTGGCTTTCTTTGGACTTTATTTTTTCACTTGTTGTTTTTTTTTATGTCCATATTTTATTCACTTACAATTTTGCGCTACTGAATCACTTTGAGTGTTCATTTATGTGACTATTCTTTTAGGCTTTTTTTCGTTGAATGCTGTTAGGCTATTTTCTCTTGGAATTTTATGTTTTTGGGAGATTAAGGAATGTTACATTTGCTCTGGGAAAGACAACTTAAAAATCAAAAAACATTTTGCAAATATGAAAAACATTTGCAAGAGTGTTACTTGCAACTTCTGCACACATGCTCATACATGTGCACAGCAATTTTTTTTTTTATAATTCAGTTTAAAAAAAACCCCAGGCGGGGGTAAGGCAATTATTCTTATATCTTCTAGTTCTCCTTGACATTGCTGAGCTTTTGATATAAATGTCACATTAGAACTTGTATGCGGTTTTAATCACATTATGCTGGAGCCAGATCCTCCAATGGCAGATTAGGATGGCGTGCTTTCCACCTGTATGCGTCCCCTGCTGTTTTGGACAGGCATTTTTATTAGCCCTTATTGACCTTTCACCCGTGTCAGTCTCCAGGGGGTTGACATGTGGCAGCAAAAGGGGAAGGGGGGGTTGTCCGCCCTCCTCCCTGCTTCTTACAGGTGGCTTTCTTCGGCCCATACACTTGTTTTTCACGGTGCACCATGCACTTAGAGGCTCAGCAGGCCCTGCAATTTCATCCCTTCACCAGGGAGGAGGGGGCTGGTGGGGGGGAAAGTGCTTTGCATTTGCTGTTCTGCTCTGAGTGTCATATGGTCTCAATTATCCTGTGATGGCAAGGCCAGGCCCTGGGCCCTTCGCATGTTTGTCCTCTGAGAAAGATCTGGAAAGGCCGACATCTGGATTTGATTGTTGCAATTGCAGGTTGATAGAATAAACGCAGGCTGAGGTGGGTGGGTTTTCCTTCCGGCCCTATCCATGGTCTGGTAATGCACTTCACGTGAGGGGGCTGCTCTTTTTATCATCCCCTTCCTCTCCTCCACCCCCCACCCGAAGACCAGCACCAGCAACATGTGGCTTGTATTATGGACCTGCCTGGAAAGGACTGAGTTGGCTCTCTGCAAACCTGGAACGGGTCAGGCCAGGAAACAGGCCTTGACCCTAACACATATCAAAGGGAATGTATACAAATTGACTTCCCCCCTAACAAAAAAAAAAGAAAATAAGAGGGAATGCTGATTTAATTGCAAAAATGACCATTTATAAAAGATGGTCAAAACGGCATGAGATTGCATTGGTGTATATATATAGTATACACAGGCAAGAGAGACATCGGGCATGATTTACTAAAACTGGAGAGTGCAAAAAATCTGGTGCAGTTCTGCATAGAAACCAATCAGCTTCCAGGTTTTATTTGTCAAAGCCTTAACCCCTTCCCTACTGGGCAATTATACCCCCTTCCTGCCCAGGCCAATTTCCAGCTTTCAGCGCTATCACACTTTGAATGACAATTGCGCGGTCATGCAACACTGTACCCAAACTAAAATTGTTATCATTTTCTTCAGACAACTAGAGCTTTCTTTTGGTGGTATTTAATCAACACTGGGGTTTTTCATTTTTTGCTATATTAACCAAAAAAACCACATTTTTCTTTTCTTTGTTTCTGTTACAAAAGTTTGCAAATAAATAATTGTTTCTGTTATAAAATTTTGTAAATAAGAGATTTTTCTCCTTCATTGATGTGCGTTAATGAGGCTGCAGTGATGGGCACTGATAGGCTGCACTGATGGGCACTGATAGGCGGCACTAATGAGGAGGCACTGGTAGGTGGCACTGATGGGCATTGAAAGGCAGCACTCATATATGGCACTGATAGGGGGCGCTGACTTGGCACTGTTAGGCAGCACTGACTGGCACTGATAGGTGGCACTGATTGGCAGCACTGATAGGCGGCACTGACTGGCATTGATGGTTAGCACTGACTGGCACTGATAGGTGGCACTGATTGGCAGCACTGATAGGCGGCACTGATTGGCATTGATAGGTGGCACTGAAAGGCAGCTCAGATGGGCACTGATATGTGGCATTGATGTGCACTGGCAGGCACTGATATGTGGCTTTGATGTGGCACTGATGGGCACTGGCAGGTGGCATTGATGGGGCTACACTCATCATCAGTGCCCTGATGATCAGTGTAGATGTTCCCTCTGAGAAATGCCGATTACCGGCTCTCCTCACCACCTGTCAGCGTGACAGCGCGTGAGGAGAGAAATGCCAATAACCGGCATTTCCTTATTTACATGCGATCAGCTGTGATTGGACATAGGGACTGATCATTTACATATATAACATAACAGGGACACAGCACACCACTGATCACCACTGCTGTGTACCCCCGGGGGTGCACACTCCCTGTTAGAGTGGGAGGACGTCAATTAAAAAAAAATTATAATTTTTTTTTCATACTGTTCCCAGTCAGTGTCCCTGATCACCGCCATGCCAGTTATATGATGACGCTGTACTGCACTGGTGACAGTATGTAAAAAAAAAATTATGAAAATAATTTTTTTTTAATTTTATCATTTTCCGAAAAATTATGACAAAAAAAATACAACTTCAAAAAAACTCGCCATGCCTCTTATGAAGTACGTCGGACTGTTTACTTTGCAAAAAAGGGGTCATTTGGGGGATATCTGTACTATTCTGACATTCTTGGACCTCAAGAAATTAGATTGGCTGTCAGTACTTCAGGATTGATCAATATTCAGATCTATACCATAGTTTGTGAACTCTATAACCTTCCTACAAACTAAATAATACATCCTAATTTGGGTTATTTTCACCAAAGACATGTAGCAGAATACATCTCGGCCTAAATTTTGAAGAACAATTATTTATTTGCAAACTTTAATAACAGAAACAAAGAAAAAAAACATGTTTTGTTTTCAAAATTTTCGGTCTTTTTTTGTTAATTTAGCAAAAAATAAAAAACCCCAGCGATGATTAAATACCACCAAAAGAAAGCTCTAGTTGTCCCGAAGAAAATGATAAAATTTTAGTTTGGGTACAATATTGTATGACCGCGCAATTGTCATTCAAAGTGTGAAAGCGCTGAAACCTGAAAACTGGCCTGGGCAGGAAGGGGGTAAAAGTGCCCGGTATGTAAGCAGTTAATTTGCAGAGATTTCCTTTCACTTCCTGTTTAGGCTATGTGACAGGAAGTGAGAGGAAATCTCCCCAATGGGACACAGATGACACAGATGGCAAAAAAACAAACGGACGGGGCTATAACCTTCAATTACTCTATCCAAAACAGAAAAACATGTTTGCCTATAGTACATCTTTAATGAAATATTAATGAAATATTCAATAAAGTTCATTGGAAAAAAAAGGAAACCGCGATTGGTGCATTGTGCTCCCACCGCACAGCAGTGGCTGCCTAATATAAAGTAGCACACTACCTGCAGGGAACAAAATAAAACATGTTTATATGATGTTGCTACTTTTTTAACCTACTTACGACTGATATATGCAGCGGTGGGACAGATTGGCCTGTAATGCACAGCTGCCGCTTATATGCACCGCTGTGTGATTCTGGGACGCGATCCATCAGTGCCCCCAGAACTGTCTGAACTGTCACTGGCAGCTCACGGTCACACACTGATGATCAGGTGCTGGTAGGATGGGCCCCCTGATGACATCAGCGCTGTGCAGCCAGTCATCAGCCATAAGCCCTCCTACCAGCCTCGGGCATTAGAGTCCATTTAAATCACAAGACTTCCAGTGTTCAGTGTTGGTGACAGATGGGTGCAGTGGTGACTATAGTGCATGGGGTCCCGCAGGGTCCATTCCTCAAAGCGACATAGTGACATAAGAGTTGATTTACTAAGGGCACGTTCACACCAGGACGTGCATTTTTTTTGCACATCCTGGCGCATCATTTTTAGGGCAGCCCAATAATTTCGATGGGCTGCCCTATGCGTGTGAAACGCCCCCAAAAAAGGTCCTGATCTTTAAATTTGTGCCCCCCCCCCCCCCAAAACACGTGCTACCATGCATTTGGCGGGCACCAAATTGCGCGTTTGCTAGATGCATGGGGAGGGGGGTGTCAATAAGCCCTAAAAGCAAATAGGCTGTTCACTTTGCAAGGGATTTGCCTGAGAGATTAGTGAATGGGGTGAGGCTCTGCTCACTTCCATCATCCAACCATGTGCAAGCACAAATACTGTTCTTTTATTTTCCTTGCACATGATTGGGTAATCTTAACAAAGAGAAATTTCACTAAGGCAGGCCATACATTATGCCGTTTTCTTAGCTTCAACCATGGGTAGAAGGAAAGAAAGTTACTCGATTACGCAATCAGTACAGTTAGTGTTGCTGGGGGAATCCCTCCCGCTGCACTATTGTATACTGACAGAGGGAGGTTTCACCAGCCATCAGAATACAATGATCAATGCTGGTGGCTAAAGCTGGTGGCAGTGATCGTAAAACAAAAAACAAAAACAGGCTGGTTTTACTGAAGTTAATCGATAGATCGACTTCAGTACAACCATCCTACCCATAGTTGGGTAGGAATTGATCTGTCTGTGGCCAGCTTAAGCTCTGGGGAAAATTCCCTTGCAAACTGCAACTTCCCTTTTACAATCAACAGCCTATTTGCCTTTTGTAAAAGAGGTTAAAATAGTGGGGTTGATTTACAAAAAGCACGAATTAATACTAGATAAAGTGAATCTGTGTTCACTTCCTTGACTACCCAATTGTGCAAGGGAAATTAATGTGCTACTAAACCCCGGACCCTGCATTCACTATATCTGGTCTCCCCGAACCCTGCATTCACTATATCTGGTCTCCCAGGACCCTGGATTCACCATATCTGGTCTCCCCCGGACCCTGCATTCACTATATCCGGTCTCCCCAAACCCTGCATTCACTATATCTGGTCTCCCAGGACCCTGCATTCACTATATCTGGTCTCCCCCCGACCCTGCATTCACCATATCTGGTCTCCCCGGACCCTGCATTCACTATATCTGGTCTCCCAGGACATTGCATTCACTATATCTGGTCTCCCCGGACCCTGCATTCACTATATCCGGTCTCCCCGGACCCTGCATTCACTATATCCGCTCTCCCCGGACCCTGCATTCACTATATCTGGTCTCCCCAGACCCTGCATTCACTATATCTGGTCTCCCAGGACCCTGCATTCACTATATCTGGTCTCCCCGGACCCTGCATTCACTATATCTGGCTCTCCCCGGACCCTGCATTCACTATATCTGGTCTCCCAGGACCCTGCATTCACTATATCTAGTCTCCCCAGGACCCTGTATTTACTATATCTGGTCTCCTCGGACCCTGCATTCACTATAGCCGCTCTCCCCGGACCCTGCATTCACTATATCCGCTCTCCCCGGACCCTGCATTCACTGTATCTGGTCTCCCAGGACCCTGCATTCACTATATCTGGTCTCCCCGGACCCTGCATTCACTATATCTGGTCTCCCCAGACCCTGGCACTATATTTGGTCTCCCACAGTACACAGAACATGGAAATGCCATTATTTTAGTAAATATAAACTGCTAAAAACCTTTTCTCATCAGCAGTATATAGCAGTCTTGTGACTTCTTTCAGTGTCCAGCAGAGCACTGGTTAAAGCTTATAGGAAGAATTTTCATTCTCCCCTGATTGTCCTATGAGGCTACAGGACCCCTGACCCTCTGTCTGGACAGTGCTGATTGGCCCTGTGCTGATCACATGCACTCTCCCAAGAAAAAAACCTCTCTAGCAATACATACTAAACTGAGCATGTGCAGCTTGCCCACAAGGCTCTGTTCTATCAGCAGATGGATTGGGGACAATAGAAGAGGGGGGATCAGAGAAGACAGGATCAAATGCAAAGGATTAACCCTTTAGGCGAGTATAACAAACGTGCTTTACTGCATATACAGACTGATTTTACTGTTGTGGGTTTAGTAACACTTTAAAAATATATATATTTTTGATAGCACGTGATTGAGAGTGACAACAGCTTCACCCTACATAGTTATTTACTTTGCAAAGTGAACATCCTCTACTCTGGTCAATTATTATATTATTTTATTTATTTCAGGTACTTATATAGCGCTGTCAATCTACGCAGCGCTTTACATATATATTGTACATTCACATCAGTCCCTAATCCTCAAGGGGAGTACAATCTAAGGTCCCCAACTCACATTCATACATACACATTTTTTTTTTTTAAGTCCGCAAACGTGCAACTATAACGAAAAAACCCGTAAGTGTTCACAAAAAAGTGCAAGTGCAAAACACCACACAAAAAGTGCACTTAAGGGTGTGCTTTTGTCCTTTCCCCGAAGGGGTTGGACCGCTACCCTGATCCCCCGGTGCACGAAGCTCCTGACAGGGACAAGGTTCCCATTTGGTCCTCCTGGCCAAAAGGCCTGGTGGACCACCGTTCCTTATGCCCAGCCGAAGCTGGACATCCAGTACTAGGCCAGGGGGTTCTCCCGAAGAGAAAACCCCCTAGGGACAGGGGAGGAAGGAACCGTAGGGCCACACATCCTCCCCCTAGACTTCAGGGCAGGCCCGAGGACCCACACCCTCCATCCTGTGAAAAAAAACACACACAAAAAGTAAAAAAGTGACAAACGTGGGGTGAGGAAAAATAAATAATTAAATAAATCTATAAAAATAATAAAAAGTGTCGTGCCCAAATTGTGCACTGACCAGACCCTGAGGCCTGTAGCAAAAAAATTGCCCAGAACTTGACCAAAAGGCCCGGTCCTAGAGGCGCAGTGCATTGTCTACCAGCATGTCTTTGGAGTGTGGGTACCGAGAGGAAACCCACACAGGCACAGGGAGAACATGCAAACTCCAGGCAGGTGGTGCTGTGGTTGGGATTTGAACCGACGACCCAAGTGCTGCCAAGCGGAAGTGATAACCATTTAGCCACTGTGCTGCCCCATTATTACAGGTAATTGTATAGAGCTAACAATGTATGCAGCGGTTTACATAGAGTACATTCCCATCAGCTACAAGCTAAGGTCTTCATCTCACATGCATACATACCAGGGGCGGACTGACCATTTGGAAACTCGGGCACTGCCCGAGGCCCGCGGTCAATAGGGGGCCCCATGAGATGCCCCTGGTACCTTTTTCATAGGCTTTTTTGAGTTTGGGCAAGGACACAGGGGCCCCATGATCCCCTATTGCCCGGGGGCCCCATGAGTTGTCAGTCTGCCCCTGATACATACACATACTTTAGGTGGGAGCTAAATCACCTACCGGCATGTCTTTGTAGTGTGGGAGGAAACCCACACAAGCACAGAGAGGCCATGCAAACTCCATGCAGATAACGTCCTGGGTTTCATGCCTAGGGAACCAATTACTGTAAGGCAGAATCACTAACCACTAAGCCAGTGGTTCTCAACCTGTGGGTCGTGGCCCCTTTGGGGGTCGAACGACCCTTTCACAGGGGTCCCCTAAGACCATCAGAAAACACATATTTCCGATGTGTAAAGAGCAGCTACTGTGTAGAAAGCAGCTGCTGTGTAGAAAGCAGCTACTCTGTTAAAAGCAGCTACTGTGTTGAAAGCAGCAGTATTGGAGGTAAAACAACACTTCATGAATTATAATTACTGGATAAATAATTTTATGGTTGGGGGTCACCACAACATGAGGAACTGTATTAAAGGGTCACGGCATTAGGAAGGTTGAGAACCACTGCACTAAGCCATTGGGTTGCCCCTATTGTCTATTATCAGTGCTGGGAATGTTATCTGGCTGAAAGACATTTTCTGCAACAGGAGTCCTAGCTAACGGGGTGCACAAACTTTTTCTTGTGCCACATATTTATATTTCATTTCTGTTTAATTCCGGTAAATAGTAACTGTGTATTTAATTTGTCAGAATTTTTTTTATATGCCTTGCACATGCTTGTGTATTCAAAGTAAAACCGGCTTCAGCTGTTTAACATTCACTTTGCAAAGTCATCATTCGCTTTGTTGTGTGAAAAGCCTCTAAGGCTTCTTTCAGCCAGGCGAATGAGGGTGGATGGGCCGATGCGTTCAGATGTGGCTACACTCCACATCTGGACAATTAAATGCATCAAGAAATGCCATCCTTGGGTGCAAACTGTCTGCTGCAGGGCCGCTCAGAGTCTCTAAACACATGTAACCACTTGGATGAGTCAGTGAGTCTTGCAGGGTTGTACAGACTGCTCTCCGGGACTGAAATGTCTTACTCTGATTTCACTGCACACTGTGAGCTTCTCACATTGTACATTAGAAACTGCAGCAAGTCAGATAGAGCCAACCCCATATCCTGGCTGGCGGACGTCCAGCATCATCTATCGCTTTGCTGCTCAGCCTGTCTGGCCTGCCACTTTCATTCATTAGACTTCAGTCTTAGAGGCTCAGCCTCATAAGTGGGTATTATCTAGGGCAGGATGCATTCAAATACAAGCTGCCTAGGAACTCCCACTGCTTAGATCAGAGCTGAGTTTGAGAGGGGTACTGAGGCAGGGTGCTGTGAGGTTTTCAAGAAGCTATGTACAGCACCTCCCACCAGCCTTCTTTGCATAGAGAAGCACAGAGATTCAGTGATGACATCACAGGGTCTACAATACTGTATTTAATCAAAATGGGAAGGTTTCATTAAAAAATGCCATTAGCATGTTGAGGAGGGGGAATGAGAAGTAGGGAAGAAAAATAAATTAACAAATTAAACTTCAGCAGGCGGCGCTCCCCCAGGATCAGACAGTCGACTGTCCCTTGGCATCATCACTTCCAGTGCAGGGCTATGAATCCTGCTCTGGTCTGGATGATGTCAGGACCCTAGACCAGTGGAGCACATGAGTGCAGATGCTGCTGTGATCTAGCTGCCGAGGATCGAATAAGTAAATATTCTTTTATTCTTCTCCTAGGTATGGCCCTACTGCAAGGGATATTGTATTGTTCCGGAGTTAGGCTTTCAAGGGTTGATTTCAAGAGCTAAGATTAAAGTGTTGTGCTTAAAGTGTTGGGTGGACATTAAAACAGAAGTGCGGGAATGTAGAAAAACATACTTATGTACCTACCTGTCCCCCTTCATGTCTACATGGGAACTGAGCGATCAAAGACCTCTGATCACTCAGTTCTTGGGTCTGTTCTGAGCACACAGTGATGACTGTGAACCACCGACTCTGTGCTCTGCCCCTTCAGCGCTTATTGGAGTTCTGGGCTGTGGAGAGGATGGACTGAGAGGCTGAGCCAGCTGCCAGTCAGTCATCTAGGCAGATCCTGACATTATTGTGACGTCAGTTGACATTGGCCTTTAACCCGTCATTGGCTGAATCTATGGCCCACAGGAGAAGTATGGCCAAAAGAGCTTTGGCCATACTTCTCCTTTAAAGTGGTTGTAATTGCTGAGGGTTATATGCCTTCATGCATTCTATCCATGAATGTAAAAAACCTTCAATGTGCTGCAACCCCCCAGCCAAGCCCCCCGAATACTTACCTGAGCTGATCTCGATCCAGTGATCTGCACAGGAGCAGTGTCTCTCTCAGGTCTCTCCCTCCTCATTGGCTCAGACAAAGCCAGTGGAGAGGGAGAGAGGGGGGCGGGGCTGAGAGCGAGCATGCACAAGTGCCCCCATAGCAATCGGCTTGCTTTGGGGTCACTCAGCAGGAGAGAGGGGCCAGGAGCATCGGCAGTGGACCTAAGAAGAGGAAGATCGGGGCTGCTCTGTGCAAAACCATTGCTAAGTATGACATGTTTGTTATTTTAATATTTACTTTAGTATCACTATAAGACTACATTTAAAGGCTGATTATTATTAATTGTGATGGGTAGCAAATGTTCAGGAGGTTTATTAGTACGTGGAAGATTGGCAGTGTCGTGTTTGTGACACATAGGTAGGTTATCCAGAGACTGCACACAAGAATTGGTAAGATTGCCACTGTTAGATTCCATAAATGTCCACAAAGCATTCGAAAATATGAAGCGAGTGCTGTGCAGCAATGGTTAACTTGGAACCTATAAGAAACATTTTCTAAGTTTCCGGACCAAAGAAAATATTTTCCTGCTTGTTTGGGTATTGGGTGCAGGGGTGGACTGACCATTTGGAAACTCGGGCACTGCCCAAGGGCCCGGGGTCAGTAGGGAGCCCCATGAGATGCCCCTGGTACCTTTTTCATAGGCTTTTTTTGAGTTTGGGCAAGGACACAGGGGCCCCATGATCCCCTATTGCCCGGGGGCCCCATGAGTTGTCAGTCCGCCCCTGATTGGGTGAATATTCAAGTATATTGGTTAAGGCTGTTTGAGTTCAGGCAGGATTCTTCACCCCATCTAAGATGAGTTTAGGGTTCCAGTCTTACCAAAACTAAGTCCTCTGACTTTTTACTGAATCTCTGGCTTTAGGCTGCATCTACAGTGCTGAGACTCGGAGCCCCCTCTGACTTTTCCTCCAGATTGGGTGATTATCTTTTTCAGCACATGTGCGGTTAAAACAAAAG